CACTAATTAATTTATATGACTTTATGTTATTATAGTTTCATATATGTATCAATATTTTTTTGTTATCACTTCAACCCTTTTTTAAATCAATCTTTTGAAAAATAATTAGTAAAATGTAACATGTACAACAAAAATAGTTTGAATTTCATTTTTTTCTGTACAGGTGTTATTTAACATGGGGAGAAATTTTCAGCCTTTGTAGCTTCTTTGACTAAAATACAAACCCTGGGAGCTGGCAAAATTGTCAAATTTAACAAAGTTTGGACGAATATCAATAATGATTATCATCCAAGCACTGGTATATAAACGGCTCCAAAACCTGAGGTGTACCAGTTTTCATGCACCGTACTGACACCAAATGATCAAACCCTTCGTGTCTTCCTATGGAAAAATGACACAAAGACAGTAGGTATTTTTCCTGGCCATTCCGGTTATAACAAACCGTTCTCAGAATAAATGGGCGTAGAATAAATCGAAATCAGAGAATATTTCTCGTGCCAATAATACAAATATTTCGGACCTAATTACTATTACAAAAAAACAAAGGCAGAAATTACTTGTTAACCAAGCTCTGTTCTTTACCTATTAATAAATTACACCAAATTTTAGAGGATTGCAACACAATTCCATAGTGCAGTCCTAAGTATGAAAATGGTCCAAATTATAATTGCATATTGTTATTTTAAACTGTTTCCCAAAATTGTTCGCTCTGAAGATCATAAAAAACATTTCATTAAAACAAATATGTCAATAAAGTTTTGATTTTGTAAATATTGCAGGTATTTTTAATGATCATTCCGTTTAAAAACCAATTCCTGGTTATTTTTTATAATACTGAGCTCCCTCTTATTTGTTATGTTTACAAAAAATCTACCCGGAAATATGTGTTTAATCATAGCAAAGTTTGTAAAGACGTTAATATTTGTGACAATACACATACGTCATAAAATTGCAGCAATTCTAAATACATGTATGGCCCCAGTTCCCATGTTATAACAGGAGACATTAACATTGTCCATGACCGAGATTTCAATTCATTCCTTAGTAAATGACATAAATATTGTCCCCTTTCAATTACAAATTAGAATGAGTATCGTTACATCATCCACGACTCACTCCGTACCTACTGTAAGAAATGGATAAAACGTGAAAAAGCTGACAACAAATCCTTAGATTCTTTTTTCAATTCAGTAATGAACATAGTTGATAGTCGTATTAAGTATTTTAAAGAAATATTTACTCCTTACAACAACCATGATAGCCCTATTTCTCGTATCAAACATAAGCTAAAAAAACTCGCAAAGGAAATTGTTTTTGTCTCGGCTGATAAGGCTGCCAATAATATCATTATTGTTTTTACGTAAATTAAACATTTAGGTTCTGCAAAAGGAAATCGGGAATTCACCAACATTCCAATTGACTCCTTTTTCGGAAATTGTCATCTGTAACAAACATAAACTTTTAGCTACCTCTTTACAAGCAGAACCGAATACTAGTTAAATGAAAGTTCCAACTATGTACTGGCTTCCGAAGCTGCACAAGACACCTTACAAATATATATTCGTCTTCAAGCCATTTCCCCACTACTAAACTGTCTATTCTACTTACTAGTACACTTGGTACAATAAAAAACCTGGTAATAAATTGTTCAAATAAGGCCTTTGAAAATAGTGGATTTAATTATTTTTGGAGTGTCATAATTCATTGGAAGTACTTGATAAATTGCATGCTCATATTGGTGATTTCGAATCTGTTCGAAGTTTTGATTTTTGTACCCTATCTACTACTTTGTCTCTTAATTTCATTAAAAAAATCACATACCTAATCAAATAGGCATTGAAAAAGTCAAAATGCAAATATATATGTTCAAAATTTTTAGTCATTTTTAGTAACAATAAACAAAAGAACTATGTCAATTGGACCTACTTTGATACAATAACTGCACTTGAATTCTTACCAGATTACATTTGTGTTCTCTATAGAGATTCCGTATATCGTCAAGTTATCGGAATTCGAATGGGGACTGTGCACCACTTATTGCGGACCAGTTTTTGTATTGTTACGAGTTACAATTTATGACTAAAATCAGCAAAGACCCATCGAAACAACATCTGATACAAAAATCAAATAACACTTTTATATATTTGGATGATATATTTGCTCTCAATAATGACGACTTCAGTATGTACACTAAAGAGATTTATCCTGTTGAACTGACTTTAAATAAATCTAATACTGAGAATGAATACTGCCCTTTCCTGGATCTTGATATATATATATATCTTTCACGGGAAGCCTAATACCAAAATTTACAATAAAAGAGATGATTTTTTAATTGCCTATTGTTAATTATCCATTTTTAGATGGTGGCGTTCCCTTGTCACCATCTTATGGTGATTATATATCTCAACTTGTTCGATTCGCTCGTGTATGTAACAACGTATTTGATTTTAACGAAAGAAATATATGTATTACTGAAAAATTAATACACCAGGGTTTTCGATATCACAAACTTGTCAAAACATTTCCTAAATCTTTTATCATCGGTACAAGAACATTATTCGTAAATATAAATCAACGTGTAGACATCTTATACGTTCAGGTATTTCACATCCCATCTTTTATGGTAATATTCTATACAAAGCACAAAAATGTCGTCATTCACCTCAAAGTCTAGCCAAACCTTTAAACAGACTTATTCAGAAGGGATATAGTTACGATACTGTTCTCATGTCATTAAAGATGGCATTTTTGGAATTATTATTGATTCAATCATAGGGTCTTTGCATCGGAAATAACTCATTTATTCTAAAACCAGTTGTTGGCATGATACGGGTTATGTTCTTCTCGTATATTTTACGATGGTATGATACTACACTCCTAACGTTAGGGATTGTGCTTGATTTTCATATGATGATGACATAATCTTTCAGTCAGTGTAATTTAGGTCTGGAGCTGGCATATCAGTAACTGCTAGTAGTCCTTTGATAATTTATGTTGATCATTGTCATTTTGCTTAGTTTTTTCTATTACCTATTCTAACATCGGACTCGGACTTCTTTTAAACTGAGTTTTACTGTGCGTATTGCTGTGTGTTAGTTTATTATACATTAGCTAGAGGTATAGGGGAGTGTTGAGATCTCACAAAACATGTTTTACCCCGCCGCATTTTTGCGCCTGTCCAAGAAACCTCTGGCCTTTGTTAGTCTTTTTTGTTTTTTTAATTTTGGCTCATTTATATGTTTCGGAGTTTAGTGTGACTTCCATTTTCGCTGAACTAGTATTCATTTTTATTCAGGGTCCAGCTGAGGCCCCGCCTCCGGATGCGGGATTTTCTCGCCGTGTTGAAGACCCATTAGTGGCCTTGGTCTGTTTTCTGTTTGGTCGGGCTGTTGTCTCTTTGACACATTCTCCGTTTCCATTCTCAATTTTATGTATATCAAACAATGAGTCAATACCACATGAGAACATTTTACAATATACTTCCTCATATTGATAAATATTCATAATAAATTTCAATAACTCTTAAACATATATAAGACCTGTTGCAGTAAAGATTTTCAACACCAACAATGTGCTTTATGTATAAACCTCCTGAATGCATATGAATCCTCTTCATATATATGTACAATCCCACATGGCGTGTTATTAGTGGTGAACTTATTGATTTTCAATTCTTCTCTGCTGAATGTTTTCGACGAAAGGGCGAAATGCTACGATTCTCAATCCATTATTGGAAATTTTCCAATGATAATTCTGTCAAGGACAAATTAAGACAATGGACAAAAAGTAGTAGAGAATACAAGAACGTACAAAGACACTTTTCATCGAATAAGCTATACATTGGAAGTCGCAGATTTAAATAGAAATTATAACTTTCATGCCATATATTAGAATTGAAACATAGATGAAAAAGTAGATCAATTTTTACTCTACTTGATATATAAATAAGTAATACTTTATGAAAAGCTATATACCACGGGGTCCACAGTTACAGCCAAAATGTCTACCATAGTAGCCACATTAAGATATGGATTCACAAACTTTTAAAAACCTATTCACGTATAGACAATTATAGTGCGTTTTGCTACTTAATTAAAATATGCACCTGTTTTACTGTCTAAACAAGTATTTCTTACAAAAACTTTGTATTTGGATACTAAAACATTTTAAAGATCTGTTATAGTACATACTTTCCACATTCAAGAGTATCAAACATAACTAACCTTTCCACTGCTTTTTGTCATTCTAAACTAGAAAAAGATTCATAAAAAAGAATGGCTAACGCAGATGCAAAATATCTCGTTTTAGGAACGAATCTTTAATCATACTTTATAAAAAAAAACACCCTCATATAAAACAAAACCAAATACTATAGAAGGAATGAAAAGAAATAGTATGAACTTTAACTTCAATTTCCGCTGTAAAGATGATGTCCTCTCACTAAAAAAATCAAAGTTTGGTGACTATCTTGAACGCATCTATACCATTTTAAATAAACAATACAACATATACAGTTAAGTCTGCTTTATATCTTGAATAACTTCTAGAAATTGACAATAATGGTCGGTTGAGAGCAATTTTTACGACAAAAGAGATGATTTCAACTTTCCAGTTTTGACGACCTTTCCATTTCTATTTAGCAACAATCCATCAGCGCCTGTATATGGAGTATATATCTTCAAGCTGACACGATATCCCAGAGTTTGGTTTCCTATTAGGATGTCTTTGAAAAAGGAATGCTGCTTACGAGGAAGGGGTTCCTAGTGGTAAATTATAGGTCATCCCTTCGAAAGTGTAACGGATGCAATTATGATTTGGTTGACCGTTACAAAATATCTGTGTCACTGATTACTACGGATATGCTATGATTATGGTATCTGCAACCTCGTCAACTTTTCATCGATTGTTACATCATCGATGGAAATGAACTGTGTGCACTTGTCGAGGACTTTATTTGTGGTAAGTAGACATGATACAGGAACTTCACAAGACGCATGAAAAAATTTAAGCATTATAACCCTATAACTTTATGTTATTCTAATAGGTTATTACAAATGATAAACAGAATGAAAAATGTCAAAGCCATTTGTTCGAAAAATGTATGGACTTGGTTATCGAGCAGAAAATCTGTGTAAAAATTGACATCCGCATACTATTTGATAAGGTCGTCTTATCATGATGTTAAAGTATAAAAGTTTCTTTAAAATGAGCTAACAATTAGTAAATATATTAGATTGCACGTAATGATGATACTTGAAACCAATTAACTGTTAATTAACATGAAATATTTAGATAAATTAGGGAGATAATACATTTTAAGGGGATTTTACCACCCATATACAGATATACTTTTGTGGAAAGGATTGAAAGTTTTGGTTTCGGTAATCAACTTATTGCTAGAGAAGAAACTGAATTTTAACTTTCCGAAATGTAAACAATAATTAAACTTTAATTGTAACAAACACTGTTGTAAGACTATTGTACTATACTTAAGCGAAAAGAAGAAAAAAATGATTCAATTGGAAACTCTTAAACTGGTTTCTGATGATGAATCATGGATGTTACGTGGTTCTTTGTATCATCATTTGTGATGTGTGATAGTAGTTGCTGCCGTCGCCCCATCGCAATCTGTCACTGAAATTATTGTTCAGTTGTATATACCCACAGCAGTTGTACCACCATCCATTATAGTCAGCTGCATAATTGCAATTGTGGTCAAGATCATAGGTAGAAAAATGTCTTCCATTGTTATCATTCATCCAGTTTCCTGCAATTATGTTTTCAAAAAGTTTTGTTTATAAGCCATTTCAATTTCTTATTCTTTTTTCTACATATAACTAATTCAAAAACAGACATTTTCACGCTGGGGTTATTTTTGCTCATTTCGTAATGAAAAATATTTTCGAAAATACCCCCAACGCGAATAGTTTATAAAAAGCAATGTCAAGTGTGAACTTACCGTTGATACGCAAATTCAACCACTCGGAAAAAAGTTTATGCAGTGATATCGCAGAAATGATAACTCGCGAACATATCCGTGTTTACAATATACATCACATGTATGGGGTTATGTAATCTCGCTGCTATAAAGTGAATGTAGTCAACTCAAACATGTAATACAAGAACATTTTTTTTATTTCTTTAACGTTAATAGTCATTTCATTTACTTCATACCAGGTAGAGTCTTAATATGTGTAAACGTAATTTAATGACGATTAATTGTCTAACTGTTTTCGAAACCTTCTGGACAAGAACTAACTTCAACACGACTGTAATCCGAACTTTACTGACCAATCTGGATAGACTGTTACTTCTAAACATAGATCAACCAATATGTCCAAAATATCATCTGTTTTTTTGGTTAAATTTTTTGTTGTTGTCTTATTGAGGCATACCCCATATATATATCATGCATATACAAATCTAACTAAGTTACAACAATCAAAGTTTGATTCGTCAAATAGAACAGAGATTCGTTCTTTAAAAAATATCTAGTATATGATTACTAATTGGAGAACTTTCCAACAAAGACCAAAGAACATGAATGTTAACAACTATAGTTCATCATACGGCCTTTAACAATGAACAGAATCCATATTGATTATAAAAGGGTGGCAAAATATGAACCAATAAAAACAAAACCAATGGCCTCATATATACCAAAATGTTAACGGAATTCGATGATTATTACTACAAACAACAACCAAAGGCAACCATTGGATTATAATCGCCTTGGTTGTGGGAGTCTTGTGTGATTTAACATGTCTGCAAACATTTAATCCTCTACGTAACTATGCCAGTGGTTTAATAGCACAACAAAGGAACAAACTGTAGAAATCAGTTAAATTCCAAATGTTAAACGCTTCTGGTATAATTATTAATGCTGATTTATGCAAAAGACAGAACGACAAAAGATACAAATAGCCAATCATCGAGTATTGTATCTTCTAAAAGTTAGTTTATAAGTCCAATTAAAAGTTAATTATTTAACCATGTTATCTAAGACTAAAATATCAATCAGTACACCTCCAACGAATTGAGTGTAAAGTCTATTATAGCAGTCTGAAAAATGCATGACCATTTAATTACAATCTATATTTGATTAAAAAGTGGTTAAAACTACTCAATTTGAAGTTCTGAGTATTCGTTAAATGTCAATTAGAATTTAACATTTTTGTGCAGTCTGCAGGAGGTAAAAATATACCCAAAATTCGGACTTTTAGATGCAATTGGTCATTGTTGTTATTTATAATTAAGAATACCATACGAAAAGGTAACACATGTTATAGTATTAAATATATTTAGCTTTGAACGTTATTTTTAAATTTTCTGCAGACAACATTGCAGTAAGAAAAACAAACACCCCAACAAACGCAAACAGAATATATATAAGATAAATAAAACGCTGTATAGAGTAAGGTAAATCAACCTTCATAAAACAGAAATTTTCTTTATACATAGATTTTTACATTGGTACCAATGAATTGTCATATTTATCCAATCAAGATAGTTAAATCATCGAATTTCAAAGTCAAGTCCGAGCCTCGGCGAGGACTTTAAAATTGATAATTTAACTATCGAGATTTGATAAATCCTACAAACCACGAATAACTATGTAAGAATCTGTTTCTCTGGTGATTATCAAATAAATTTAAATTTTTGATAAACGAAAATCCCCATTCGAGCGCCTTCCACATTTCACAAAGTTGTCAATTTCTCTAACACCTGTTAGCACATTCCGATTCATCCAGTGAGCTGATAAAGGGTATGACCCTCAAACTTAGTCAATCATCTTCTGAGATCAACGGCAACTACACGTTGATTAAATTTTTATTATACAATGGGTCCCGAAAATGTTAAATTGCCAAAGAATTAGAGAAAATATTTACAGTTTCTATAGTTGTTTTTTTTCTCACCGCATTAAAGGAAAACCTCAGAGTTTGATCAGAATTTAACAATACCTATATATATTCAGTCAAAGACTTGACTAGAAAATAGACGTTTGGTCATTTTGGAATTCTCTGGCTGTGGAAGCTACGCTAAGGCTCGAGCGTCTTACTTTTCTATGATAACTATTCAATCACCTTTGCGATAATTGACGTTTAATCCGAAGCTTCGTGTAGGGTACGTGTCACGGTCTGTGTATGCTACAAATCTGGAGCCTGTAATTCAGTGGTTGTCGTCGTTTGTTGCTGTATATCTTATTTGTTTTTGTATGCAAATCAGGTCGTAATTTTTCTCGTTTGAATTGTTTTACAATTGTCATTTTTTATAGCTTTCTATGCGGTATGGGGTTTTCTCTTTGTTGAAGGCCGTGCGGTGACCTATAGTTGTTAACTTTTGCATCATTTGGTCTCTGATGGAGAGCTGTATCATTCGCTATTACACAACATCTTCTTATTTTATACATGTTAGTCATAAATTAATATTGAACAGTTAGACATTATACACGACAAAACTGCATTTTACCCCATGCAAACTGAACATCATGTTTTTAAACAAGCATGATGGTTGTAAAAAAATATAACTTAATCATTTTTCTAGGAACACGAAAAGCAAATGCAAAAAGTTGTCTGGATATTTAAAATTGTGCCCTCTAGGAAATTTATAGCCTTTATATTTAGAAAAGGGAATCAGATCTGACTTACCTGCATTTCCGCTGTATCCATTCACTGTTAATTCATAGTGTACTGCTGAATCACCTACTGCAAATGTGCTGTACTCAGCATAATAGTTATTGCCGTAACTGTCGACCAGATCCACCCGTAATTTAAACGACCCTTTGCTTGTTAGAATATGTATGTATTTGTTACCTGGATAAAGAAACATAAGCGTATACACGAATAGGAGTTATACTAAAACAATCACACTAAACTGCTATCTATTAAAAGATGTAATTATACTTAAACTGCGAATTCATTACAGTAAGATACTCTGCATGAAAAGACCGCATTTTACCCCATGCAATCCGCAAATCATAAAGTTGTTTATAAATAAAGGCAACAGTAGTATACCGCTGTTCAATAGTCATAATTCGATTAACCAAAAACAAATCCGGGTAACAAACTAAAACCGAGGGAAACACAACAACTATAAGAGGAAAACAACGGAACAACATAAACACTGAACTACAACAAAAGCAAACGCCAACATACATACAAACGGACTTTGTGATAACAACTGCCATAATCCTGACTTGGTACAGGATATTTTAAGAAAAAATGGTGGGTTGAACCTGGTGTTATAGCTATCCAAACCTCCTGCTTATATAGCAATGTTAAAAATACAGCTAAAATGACAACACTACGTGACAGGAATATAGTTCAAACAAACGCAAGAACACTCAGCACAGAGAAGTACATAAATAAATAATATAATAGTACATTACAACATGTAAACCGCAGAATACCAAGGAACACCTGCCATAAATTTACATCAGCACACCAGGACACCGCAAACGAAATATAAACTGCGCGTCACATGAATGGATCAACGTCACAAAAAGTGACGTATTTTTTTGTGACGTTTATATTATCACATGTAAATTTCTAAAAATAAAATAGATTTGTTTTATTCATAGACACGTACAAGAATATAAATTAGGATTGAGTTTGTAAAATGCTGTATATATGCCAATTTTTTGTTTTATTATACTGTGTACGAGTATGAAAATTTGTTGTTTTTGTCATAATGTGTATGAAAATTTGATGTTATTAACATACTGTACATGAAAATGTGATTTTTTCTTAAATTTATCATACTATGCATGACAATTTTTTATTTATCATACTGTGTATGAAAATTTGTTGTTTTTATCATACTGTTTATGAAAGTTTCCCTCTTTTCAGTAATATGTCCATACTGGGACTAAAAATACGATATAAAAGAAACAAACAAAACTTTACAGTTACGTTCTAGTCAAACAGTTTGAAGGTCCTGAAGTAAATGTGGTAAATAGAGGTCCCTTTCTTCCATAGTGTCCCCTTTTCACGATACATTGTGATTCAGATAACACATCAAAGTGTGACAGTCATTACTATAATACAACGTTTTCCCATTTCTAATATTTCATCACCTATCTCATTATTTGACGTTATAGAACAAACGATCAAGCGGTGTAAAATTGAGGTTAATTGTTTGTTTCCCTCGCTCATGAAAATTGTAAACAGGCAATACTTGCCAAAGCTGTTTTAAAAAAAAATATTTAACTCTTGCACTTTGTAAATGACTAGTCGGTTTGCAAAAAGACGAATAAGGTTTTGAAAAGTACATGATTTTTACTATTATATCAAGAACATCTTCAATATCTTGTTGTTTTAAAAGTTATAGTTTAAATACATAAATAGATATATGTATAGATATTTGTATAACACTACTACTTTACGCTTTACTAAAAAAAAATTGACAAAATATGAATCAAATGAGAAATAAAGGTATTTTTTTTATTCTAAGATATACCTACCCAGCCAAAACTCATTTTGAAGATCACCAAACCCATTTTCATACCCTAACCAGTTCCTTTGAAAATTTTCTCTTCCGTCTATTCTTCGTTGAATAACCTATACAAACATATGTTTAATCATACACAATAAAATAAAATATTTAACCAGTATCAAAACAACTAAAACCAGACTTGGTTCATTTGATTGATATTCTTTAAAAGCAACGTTATTTGGATCATACCATCAAAATACACTAAGTAATACGATTGCATAGATTCAAATTTGCTGGAATAATCACTAAAATTGCATTATAACTTTGTGAACAGGAAAAATTGCTCTCATGCTAGAACTAGGTAAATATTACACTTAATCATGTACAACAAAGTACCGTCAGATAACCATGTTTATTCACTAGTACATAGTTTGTCATTTTAGTGATTTGAACCTTTCCCATTGACCTGTAAACAGAGAGTACTATACACACAGGATGGTCTACTTCGTATTTAAAATTACATCTAGAACTATGAAGGTACCTATGTCATTGCATCAGATGCACATTTCGACAACTGATGTATTTTTAGTGACGCTCGAAGACAAAATATTTAAACATCCAAAACCTAATACAAATGTTGAAAAAGGACAAAAATTAAAGCCAAACCCCGATAATTAATCAGATTGATAATGATGGAGACTCATTCTTGAATCAAAGGAATTTAAAAAAAAAATGTATTGCATCAAATTAAAAAAAATATATATACATATCCCAAGTCAGGAGCCTCTAGCTTTTGTCAGTCTTGTATTATTTTTAATTTTAGTTTCTTGTGTACAATTTGGAGTTTAGTATGGCGTTCATTATCACTGAACTAGTATATATATTTGTTTAGGGGCCAGCTGAAGGACGCCTCCGGGTGCGGGAATTTCTCGCTGCATTGAAGACCTGTTGGTGACCTTCTGCTGTTGTCTGTTCTATGGTCGGGTTGTTGTCTCTTTGACACATTCCCCATTTCCATTCTCAATTTTATATTGTCATGCGAGTATCGAAGCCTGTCTACTTAGCAGATAATTTACAGTGCAGCAGCTACACTTATATTCTTGTATCAGATGCGCATTACGATAATTAGTGTCTCTGCAATTTTCACAATGTAAACTTTTCATTTGAATTTGAATGAAGGAACGTGAAAGCAGAATCTCTAAATGGATCAATTATCTCCAGTTCGATACAATTTTCAAAACTTCGCGTTTCTTATCAAGATATCTTTGAATCAGGGCTACTGCTTTCAAAGAGCTTGGTCTCGAATTGAAAGTCATCACTCCGAAGTTGTACAGACGCCATCCTGCTTATGTAGACAGTTACGGAATATACGTGTGTGATGTCCACGGATATCATCCTTTCGTCGAAACTGATCCCTGTTTGTCATGAGCAAGACTATTATTATCACTAGTTTGGCAAATACACTCAGGAGTATCTGCACTCACCAAGGTTTCTGGTGAGGTTCATGTTTCTAAATCTATTTGCTTCTGTGAAGTATTTCAGATACAGTTGTTTTCCCTTTCCTTTTTTTCACTGGGATTTTCAGTTTTGCTTGCTTGATGTCTTTTTTGTATTATTTGGCATGTTTCTTTTTAAATTTGTGAGGACCAGTAAATGAAAATAGTGCTTATATGCAATGAAATATGCACCGTTAAAATATTTGCAGGTTTCTATGTCTTAACAAGTGGTCACCATCTTTTTTGCTTGATGATAAATATATAATTATACATTAATAATTATTGTCTTGTAAAATATTTAATTGTATGTAACGCTGATGTTATTGTTTGAGTTGTATTTGTATGTTATTATGCCTTTGTACCCTTAACCCCTTATGCGTGTTTTTATAGATTAATAAAGTCATTTGTAACGAACACATCTTGTTTATAATTAGTAGTAAATTGACGCACGTAACTCGCAGTACCGTTATCATGATCCAATTACCAAAACGAATCACAAAAAAGCATTATCACAGAAATTTTCTGTGATAATGCTTTTTTGTGATTCGTTTTGATAATTGGATCATGATTACGATACTGCGAGTTACGTGCTAATTAAGTATTTTTTTTCACTGTAATTGCTTAAGAGTAACCCGCCAGCTCTATTCTTCGATTTCAAAAATACTACTTTTCTGAGAAGATTCGGACAATTTTCTACTACTTAGACAATCGTTACTACTTTTATGATGGTTTTCTTGTATGTATGTTTATTTGTTTATATTACCGTCCAGCCGCCGTTCGTCATGTTGCAAAACACCTGTAACCCCTCTTCAGTCTTGGATGGGTATATTGTAAATACTCCACTTTCGTATATGGGATTTAATTTTTTCAAGTTAGTACAATCGTCTTCACGAAATTCTAAAATGTAAAAATTACTTGATAAAGATTTTCTAAATCAGTCATAAGTATATAATAACGAACAAATCTTACACCGTAATCAAATAATAAAACGGATATCATATATAACAGCGATATGGATGTTCTGTAAAGACAAGTGATAAGTTGTGCCGTCGCCGTTTATACCTGATTGTACGGTATAGGTTGTGCTCATTGTTGAAGGTTGTAAGGTGACCTATATTTGAATACATTAACGTCATTGGCCTGTTGTGGATAGTTTATGTTTAGTCTCTTTATACTAATTGTCGTCAAAAGTAAAGGGGCATTATCTGTCAAATTCATATTCACCAAATTGACTCAAATTATAATATTTGATTTATAACCTACTAAAACGTATAATCATTACAAAAAGTCCAAACGAAACAGTTAAAAATGAATGTAATCGTACAATGTATCAGTATTTCGTGTGTATTGTAGACTAGACGCCATATATTACCCATAGAGATGAACTCTGTAGAATACCGATGGTCTATGACTTGATATAAACATAAACACAAATATAAAAACACAGACAAGCACGTTCAATCGTATACTAACGATTTGTCTAGGTCTAATCCTTTCGGCTGTAAAATTGCACTAAATAAACATCGTATTCAGTAACATTAACGGTACAAAATGTACTGCTCCAGATGAACAATTCGACAATTCATGTTTTTTCAATGATGCCCTAGGCTAATATATTTCAAATCTAAAACTTGTTTAAAAATTGGAAGGCTGATTCAATCTACATAAAGGCGCGAAGGACCAATGTTATTAATATTTTAAATGAGACAAACTAACTGTAATAGACATGTTCTATTTTGACAGAGAAAAGGCTATTTGTTTTGATATGAAAACGAAAACTTTAAAATTACACTATTGTCATATTTGATGAAACGTGAAATCCATCTGTAATTGAGATGTGTCAGCAATATGTAAAACACTCACAGCTTTAAAAATTGAACTGATTAACGCTTCCAAATATCAAACAAAGATTTATGTCATTAAAAAAAAGGCACAATGCTACTGATGTTAACTCTTAAATCAATTTTGAACGTACAAATTCAGACAGAAAACTTGAACTTAAAACAAAAGTTCGGCCGAAAAAAAGCAGCTATCACCCATCACACGCCGTGCCAATTGTTAATTGTTCAAAATTTGTTGAAAGGGAATTAGAATCGATCGGTTACGTATTAAGGACCAAGACCGCAAAAACCAGTCTGCCATGTTTACATACACTAACATCTGTCAACCAATCATTGATACATGTAGCAACTGCAAATCTTGTTATATGTCGTTCTTCTTTATAACCATATTGAAAGAGTTTAAACCCTATTGCTTTTAAAAGATGATCAACAGATGCAAAACGTTTCCTTATCAAAGAGAGGCAAAATATACCAAAGGCACATTCAAACACATAAGTCGAAAATAAACTGCCAACGCCATGGCCAAAAAAGAAAAAGACCAACAGACAAACAGACAAACAATAGTACACAAAACACAACATAAAAAACTAAAGACTGAGCAACACGAACCCAACCAAAAACTGGGGGAGATCTCATGTACTCCGGAAGGGTAAGCAGATCGTTCAAAGTATGAAATACGTTTCTTGCAAAGCAAATACGAGTGAATTGGAAGTATGGTAAGTCAGCCATAAACAAAGTTAACATCAAATTTAAGCAACTCACACAAAGCAATTATCGTTTTTCGTTATTTATCTCAAATCAAAATATTAGGACACGAGAGAGGCGAAAGATACCAAAGGAACATCCAAACTAATAAGTCGAAAATAAACTGACAACGCCATGGCAAAAAAAGAAGACAAAGACCAAAAGACAAACAACAGTATCATCATAGGAAAATGGCTCATTTGAATTTAAAAAAAAATGTTTTTTTCACTTTACATTAACTACATATCCATGGTTATTGTATCTATAGAGAAGTCACCAAATGAATACAGAAACAAAAGCTTTGTATAAAAGAATGTTATGTCCATACGAGATAATGGCTTACAAAAAAAGATGAGAAAACATTACAAAAAGTCACTTGTGCCAACCACTATCGCGATGTTTTTGTGATCCAACTGATTTTTGTTTGCGTAATAGCGAGTTACAAATCAATTGTTTATAAGTTCTGTGAAATGAATATAAACACAAGGACATGTTCAGTCAAACTTAAAGTATGGTTCGTTATAAATTTTATTAATAACGTAAAAAGTTCCCTATTTTCTTAGTAATTCGATATATTAACGTACGCTTGGTATAAATCTGCTTTACCACGTGACAAGTGCAAAGAACAATTACTTGAACGAAAATAATTATATTGATTTGAAAATATTTGTATACCTTTCTATTTCTCGTTTAAATATCTGTATTACCTTGTTCTTTGACGCAAAATAAGCCTCCATCCATTATTCTTTCACATATTTCTTCAGGTTTACAGGGATTTTCCAGGCATGTGTCATACATAGGATCCTGATATTAGGAATTATAGATATTTTTACAACAGTACAACTTCGTATTTCGTTTAGCCTTCCGTCCATTTTTTTTACGAGCGCCACTGATGAGTCGTTGTAAAGGAGAACCATTTACATCTAGTATAGTTGTAACCATCAGCAGCATTTCATGCATTATTTTATTTAGTTTAATAACACGAATAGTTTTTATTTTATTATATTTTTCTATATACTCACATTATTTGTATTTATGTTTTCAGTCTGTACATGTGACGTATTCGGAAAATTGCAGCTACATGTAGCTTGCCATCAAATTGCCAGTGTACAATTTACAAAAAACAATATCACGAATAACAATATTAAATTTAGCTGTTTGGTTTTAACTGGTATAACATTCATGCTCTTCTTAGAATAGTGTATCTTCTTGTCTCTGGAGTACGAATTTTTTTACAATTGTTACGAAAGTGAGTAAGAATACGTCTTTCATCTAAATATTTCACTACTTGATAACAACTTCCATACTTATTTTTAATGCATTTTTGTTTTTCAATGTTTACTTATTTTGTGTTATATCTCGTCTCATTATTTTTAATATGTACCACCGTTGATAAGTATTTAGTATGACGATACATTTTCAGTTCTGTACTCGTACTGTGAACAACAAATTTATTTATTTGGTAAAATATAAAAAAAAAATCCGTAATCCTTACAACAAAGTTATTTTATATTTAAAATTATGTGTACGTTATTTCATTTAACGCCATTTTGTCTCAGGTTAGAGTTGTCTTTTTGACATTGTTTTAAATCTTTTTTATTAATATTGTATTTATATTCTGTCATAGATCTAATCTATTGGTTCAGTGTATGTTTACTTGTTTTTGTCTATATGTCTTTTTGATCGAGTTAAGCCATTTCAATTGACATTTATAGTGTGTCTTTTTATGTGGTAATGTTACACTACTGTTTCAGGTTAGGGTGAAGGTTGGCGCCTGTTAAAACTTTTAAACCCGCTGCATTTATATGCACCTGTCCTAAGTCAGGAGCCTGTTCAGTGGTTGTCGTTTGTTGATGTGGTTCATAAGTGTTTCTCGTTTCTCGCTTTTTATATAGATAAAACCGTTGATTTTTCTGTTTGAACTGTTTTACACTTGTCATTTTGGGGGCCTTTATAGCTTGCTGTTCGGTGTGAGCTAAGGCTCCGTGTTAAAGGTCGTACTTTGACCTATAATTGTTTACTTTGTACACATTGTGACTTGGATGGAGAGTTGTCTCATTTGCACTCATACCTCATCTTCTTATTTCTATTATAATTGAGTTAAAATTGCCCCCTCTTTATATTTAAAATATCATTAACGATGCCAATTTTTACTGCACAAGATTCGCATTCAGACAATTAATGTCTCTTGTGATGTTCGCAACAAAACTATTTGAAAATTAAAAACATATAAACCAAAAAGGACTGAATGTATAGCCATAGCCGGGTAAGGAATCAGAGCTTTGCATGAGAGAAACATATTTCTTAATTTCAAATAATTTCCACAATTTCGTAGCACCAAATTTTAAATACACAATATCCGTATTTTCATGCTGGGCTGTTGATGCCCTCGGGGACTAACAGTCCACAAGCAATGATATCGACACAATGATAATTATAACATAAACGGTACAATTTCAACGCACTAGATGCGCATTTCGACAATAAATGTCTCTTCAATAATGCTTGAGGCAAACACGACCCATTTTAAAATGTTTAAACATAATATAGATATAGGTCAACCCGCATGGCTCTTTATCAAAAAGTTATTGTGTTCTCTTCCAGTGCCTCACTTCAATAAAGGATCGTACAAATTGCATTTTTAAACACTTGTCTCGAATTTTAAGTCTCTAGTTAGACTGATCACCCTACATTTAGTTTTTACATATCAAATGAGCTACCCCACGACAGTGTTCTTACTATGATTAAAGGAAAGTTATACATATTTTCACTTGCATTTACAATTAAATGTGCCTGGATATAACACCACTAGCCTTACACATGTGAAAGTGTGATAACAATCTGAAAGACATAAGTATAGTTTTATTTATGTTTGCAAAAAAACACAAAACATTCTGCAACTTGTTTTTAAGCATGTGACGGAGCCCCTTTAGACAGACTCCCGCATGGACGAAATATAAGTAAACCGCATAGTTCCGTTCTAAAACTGTATTATAGCTACCATTTGAACTTTGAATTATCTTATTAACCCTTTCCCTTTCACACCGGTACAGCTTACCGGTGAAGCAAATTTTGAGACAATTCTTTGGCGTTAATATAAATAAGAAGATGTGGTATGAGTGCCAATGAGACAACTCTCCATCCAGGTCTAGTTAAGTCTTGTTTCATCGACATTCTTTGACGTACAGATATGGGTAAGGGCTCAAACTAATTCTTAGAATACCAGCAATGTGATTTAATGTGCACCAAACTTCTATCATTATCTGTGTATAGTCGATTTGCCTCTTACCGACAAGTGTTTTTTTCTGTAAAAGCCATTTTTTTTTCTTCAAATTTTAGCAGAATATTTTCACAAAGTAGTGCATAGAATACCGTTTTTTTGGGAAAAATGACTATTTTCAATAACTGTGAATTGTTTTTTGGAAAAAATATATCGAAATAATAGTTTTAACTTGTACACTAGTTAAAAATGAAATTTCTAGTGTACCAGCGCAATCACAAACTTGAAATGCGCTAAAAATTCGTAGTCATTATCCACAGAATTTGTTGAAAAAGAGACAAAAACCACTAAAATATCCTAAATTTTTTTTAGCAAAGTTTAAATAGATGTAACAAAACATTATTTTGTATGTGCTTGCTTATGATATAGTTGAAAAAACTTTTGTTTAGATAAAGGAACATGTATATGTCAATGAAAAAATGACAGACTAAGGTATGGATTCCTCCTATATTTGCTTAAAATCATGAATTTGGCAACAAAAATATATCATCTCAACACATGATTTCTTAAAGAAAACAAGCAGCTGGATGATGATCTTATTTGTTTTTCTCTCACGTCTTGAGTAGTAGACTTTACTACTAAAACATCAATAATTTTCTTAGAATGCCAGTGGTGCAGGGGTATGCTAAACCAACCCACAGCGGGAAGATCGCGTGTTCGAATCTCACTGCCGGAGGTGAAAAAAATATTTCCTATATTAAATGTAACTTAACTTAACTTAACTTACTTTACTTTTTCAATTTCAAAAAGAAAACCAACTACATGCAAAAGTCTGATACAGAAATATTTATGTTTGTTTTTAAAAGAATTTGTGTGCTCAATTGTACCCCCTTGTTTTCCTCTTTGCTCCATTGGCCTCGGTCCAGGGTGCGCCTCATCAAGTAATCATTGGTAATTCAATGAATTTTCCCTTGTAAATACCAAATAAAGTTTACTGCTTGACTGAACACGATTTATACAAAGGCTTTTTTTAGGGTTTGAATTTGGACGAAAGAAGCTTCTGAAATCGGTTATTTTGAATGTTATTGATATCGATATTTCACGGAATGTAGCACGTATTTCCTCTTTTTATACCATTATGACAACTTGTCTGTCTCTAGCAGACATAGGGCATTGTTTTTCTACCAAAACTATACCCTATGAGCGCAATGGGATTTCGTATTTTTTCACATTTTCCCCACAAGTCACATGACTTTTGGAAAGATACCACGCGACCTATAAAAGAAAAATTATCTTCAAATTTAGTTTTCTGAAATATTTGATCAATTATCTTTCATATGCGTCCAATATTGCCAGTGCATGACCTTTGGTGCGAATGCAATATTCAATTGAACTTTAGTAGTGCACGTGTCTTTTTGATAAATAAAGTTCTAAAATGCCTGAAAGGAAAAGGGTTAATATTGTTCCATTATGCATTGACAAAGTTGTAGATATTTCTACAAGTAAAGTTTACAATTTATACTAGAATCAGACAAAAAACCCAACCTTTTACAACTCAGAAATACCGGTTGGGTCATTCTGTTGTTTCCAAGTTGAAAACTAACAGTTGGAACTATCTGTCAATTTGAAAGTGAAAAATATCAAGTTGGAAGTGATAAATATCGAGTTGGAAGTGAATAATGGTCAACTCGGAACTGAAAAAATAAATTCTTGGTACAGAGATATGCCCACGTGGAACTAACAAATTTCAATTTGGAACTTGGAAATGTCAAAATTGAAAGAAGAATCGTTGAAGATAGAATGTCCCTACAGGTCTTTGGTATATCTATATTTCAATGCGCAGAACTCTTTTGCTTCTTCTTTTGTTTTAAAAATAACAATGTAAATGTTGCACTTACCCCTCTGTAACGACCAACTTCTACATAGATAAATCCAACCTCGTTCAGGAAGTCATTAAAAGAGACAGATGTTGGTTGGTAGTTCAGATCGCAACGTAGTTGATGTCTGTTATAGTTGTAAGAATGACATCTTGGTCTCCGGATACATTTGTCAAAACACGCCCTCGGGGATATATTCTCAAATGCACGAATCCTGTATCCATCTAGTTTTGTGTCAAGCTTGTTTGGGTTCACATAAAAAATTCCAGATTTGCATTGTTCTGTAGACACTAGAAGCAAATCAGCTAAGAGTATCAACAATTGTCTAAAACTAAATAACATGTTAGAATGTTTCGAGATCGTCCAAATTCTTAAAACAAGTATTTTCAAAGATTTTATGGATGCAATGTTTCAATCTTTAATGCCTTTCATCTTGCATTAAATGGATATTTGTAATTATACATGTGATATAGTACTCCAAACTTCCGTGTATCGTATTAACAATTATCCAATCGAGAGCGCATATCTGTGTAGTTGTAATCGCAAATCTACAGACGTAGATTGCAAATTAGGTCCCGATTCGTCACTTTGAGAAGTTCTGCAATCTATTATAAATGCTTCGATTAATCAGTTTATGAATAAAGTGAACACAGGCACAAAATATGCTTCTAGATTTGATTGCTACTCTACTGTATGTTTCAATATTTTTTCCATTTTACAAATAAATTTGTATTAAAGTGAGGAAAGCCTTGAATCAAAAATACACTGTTTCTCCTTTTTGTATTTAAATATTATAAGAAGTTTGAATATATCATTGGTGCAACTGGAAACAGGAACTCGAAAGTAGACCACAAAATAAAATGGCCAAGATTAAAACAATAAGAAACCGCTCAAGACATTTAAAACAACAACATTTCATATATATGAAATGTATCATCTTAATTTCCATTGAAACAATGGTCGTAATCGAGTATTTTAGAAAAAGTAGACTTTTCTCGTCCTAAAGTGTTACCTATTGTCTTATTAGTGTTAAAATATGGTTCATAAAATACATTCTGTTATAGAACACCATGTAATCGCAAATCGTAAATACTTGATACTTGACGATTATTGTATAAAAAATAATCTTTAATTACTTTCGGTTTAAAACATTGTTATTTGTTTCATTACCACCATTAAGGAATGCACTTCCCTCAAACAAAGCTACAATTCTTTTTCCGGGTTCAGCTTTACATTCGGTATTTTTTTTATTCAATCAGCACTTTAGGGTGTATATGAATTTTCGATTATCAAATATTTTTGCCTCGATCATAACTGTAGAGACATTCAGAGACAAAATAAGAGCCTAAAATGGTTAATGGTTAATAATATTGATTAATGGAGAAGTATAATATGGGCATTTTTTTGCCCTTTGATTCTTAAATTCAGAATGATATTCTGTGAAAGTATTTTTATTCGAGGTGTACCAATATTCGTGGTTTTCGTGGTTGGCTTTATCCACGAATGTAAGTGTCCAACGAAATATAACAACTGTAATCCAAATCAAAACATGGAAAGATCCCCATGCAGGATTGACTACATACTTACGACAAGGATTTGTAAAGTGAGACTATTCAAATCTTTGGTTAGGGCATATAAAAAGTAAAATAACAAAAATACTGAACGCAAATGAAAATTCAAATTGATAATTTCAAAATCAAAATCGTCTCGTTTGTCATAGATTCTGGTACTGAGATGACCGCTTATGTCAGATTCGAGATATAAGTCTAAAAAAGAGGCGGAAGAAGCCGTGGATAAATAGTTTTGACTCGATGGAAATCAGATTTCCGGTGATGATTTGCGATGATTAAGTGTTCATTTTATCTCCTCAGAAGTTTCATACGAAAAAAAAAAAATCATATAAGGCTTGTTTTTTTTTTTTTTTATTTTATAAGAATAATTTCTACAACTTAAAGTACATTTGTAGCATTTTTTTAATGTAACTGTTTTCTTTTAGTGAAATGTATATGGACCAATTAACACCTTTGATGATCGTTAATCTGTTGATCATTCGATCTCTGGTTGATAAGTGTCACCACTTCTGATTACCGGTGTGCAACAATTAAAATGTTTTCTTTGCAATTTCTTTTAATCGATTCAATTTGTAAGCATAGATGAATCAGTTTATTTCCGAAAAAAAATTAGTTTTAAAAAAAAATGATGAATGTTGTCCGTAATGAAAGACATACAAGTAAGCGAAAATGTTTATTTTGCAATGTCCCCCAAATCATTATAAAACATCATACAAATATTTTGAAGAATCTTCGTTTCTGGTGGCTTCAAGTTCTTCACTCGATTTTTTTCAGAAATATAAAATCCACGAATTTAAGAACCCACGAACATGTAACTTTTGCTCACACCACGAAAATTGATACCCATGAATTAAAAGGTGAAAGTGCTATTATTCGTGGGGTACCAATTTTCGTCGTTTTCGTAAATGGCTTAATCCACGAATTTAAGTGTCCGACGAAATATAACAACTGTTGTCCAAATCAAGACATGGAAAGATAGACTACATGGATATGGGCATATAATCGAGAGAATACATTGAATTAAGAAAATGCACTATGTACTATATATATACAACTTCATACAGGATTTTACCCATTTAATCTTTAAAAAACCTAAACTGTACGACTTTTAAACTTTTAATTCTCATACAAATTAGTTTTGATTGATGAGAGTCAGACTTCCGGTGATAATATGCGATGGTGAAGTGTTCATTCTATCTTCTTATAATTCTCATACAAAAAAAAAATCATATAGGGCTTGATTTTTTATTTCATAAGAATTAATTCTACAACTTTAAGTACATATGTAGCATGTGTTTATGTAACGGTTTTCTTTAAGCGACATGTTATGGCCCATTTAACACCTTTGATGATCGTTAATCTGTTGATCATTCGATCCTGGGTTAATAAGTGTCATCACTTCTGATTACCTTAATGAAACAATAAAAATATTTACTTTGCAATTTCCTTCAATCGAGACAATTTGTAAGCATAGAAGAATCAGCTTATTTCCCAAAGCACATATTTAATTAAAAAATTGATGAATGTCGTCAGTAATGAATGACAAACAAGTAAGTGAAAATGAACACCATATTTAGCAATGTCCCACAAATCATTATAAAACAAGATATGATTATTTTCAAAAATCTTTGTTCCTGATGGCTTCAAATTCTTAATTCGATTTAGTTTTCTTCAGAAAACTAAAATCCACGAATTCAAAAACCCACGAGCATGTAACTTTTGCTCAAACCACGAAATTTGATACCCACGAATACAAGTTCTTTCACAGTATATCTTAATGATAAGACATCATTAAGATGATGAGAAGACATTCTCCTGTAAGGGTTCAATATTTTTATTGTTTTTATTTTGTTATCATTATTTCCTTCCCTAACATTTTATAATTATATGTTTGTTAAATAAATATTCGGCATCAACGAATGAGACTTTGTACATGCATAAACAGAACGACGAGTGCCACATGTGGAGCAGAAAATGCTTATATGTCCGTCTACCTAAATGTACACCGGTTTTCATTTTGGAGTCGTGCTGCTCAGTTCTTAGATTTCTTTTACTCGGTTGATTCTATAGCTTCAAACATCTGGGTTTTTTTTAAAGTTTAACAAGATATTTATAAAAAATTTTATGTAACATTAATTCAAATTATTTAAATTCCTATAATTAGCTTTTTAGTGCATGGTGTACAGCTGTTGTTGTCATTTTATTACATTTTGATTATTCATGACTAGTTCTTTATTGTAGTAAAATTATCCATTTACCAATGCAAGTTATACAACAAATAATTAAAAAAAAAGTTCAAATTACGTAAATTGGTTAATGAAATATAAATGTTGACGACTGCATAATATTGCCGTATAATATTGCAAATATACTTTTTTCGAAATATATTTGGCTGTTAAATGCCACGTTTCAATTACAATCAGTTAATGAATATTTATTTAATCATAACAAAGTTGTATAACCAAGGGTACCCGGGTAATATAAATTCAATACTAGGCCTTCGTCATCGGGAATTATAAACTGTTACATCGTAGGTAATGCGGGATGACATATACACAAAAAAAAACATTCCCTGATCTGGAAGGTGAAACCTCCTCGTAGCAGGAATACCGTTTGGTGCTATGTGAGACTTTCCAAATCACAACCAACGTTCTGAATGTTTAAATTCAAGTGCTGTGTTGTTAGTTAAAACTCAACGCTCTATGCATGTTAAAGATCCCTTGTGTCGGCTCATCATTAGTGATCAGTAGGCCAGTTATTAGGATTAACGTCTTGACCCTATCCATTAAACTTTTATTTTTATTTTGATATTGCCTGTTTGACGCTAAACAACCCTTCAGACAATCAATTATTAATTTTTGAACGGTCTTCATTGTTTCAACAGGTTTTAAACCACATAAGTTAAAAGTTAAAATGTAGGATGAGATTTGACGTTTTGACGAAAACATGTCTCAAATGACATTTGTAAAGAAAAAAGTAAAATAACAAAAATGTTGAACTCCAAGGAAAATTCAACACGGAAAGTCCCTTATCAGGTGGGAAAGTCAAAAGCTCTAACACATTAAACGAATAATTTGGTACAGGTATTTCCTTATGTAGAAAATGTGGATTAAACCTGGTTTTAAAGCTAGCTAAACCTTTCAATTGTATGACAGTCATATAGAATTCCATTATATTGACAACAATGTGTGAGCAAACCAAACACACATAATAGGCAAACCTGTAAAAAATAGGTCTACAGCAGTCAACTTTGTGTTATATTCTTAATCACCTTAAAAACAAATAACCATTTCAACAAAGAAAAACAAAAATGCATATAGACACTCTATAGACAAAGTACATAAGCAAAAATAAGAGACAAGAAAACAAAAATGACCATAGCACAATAACACAATGGCGGGATTTATAAATACCTAGCCACGCCAAAAGTATATACCAAAAGGACATAACAGTCATGGTTTAAAATATACAAAGACAAATAAAAAGAACACTGTAACACGTAATTACGATGTTTAACAACTTCAGTACCTAGAATCTAAACTTCAAGACCATCATGTATTATTTGTGAAGTTGATACGGAATATTTATCGACAAGATTTTGGTATCTTCCGATGAATTTTTTTAGACATAAACCTAGTTCATCAACTTTCTGCTTAGAATAATGGACGTATCATAAAGTCTGCGTAGCAGCTGTAATCTCTTGAATACCGGATGAGTAGGGGAATCTGTATCCCAAATACGACAAGTGTCCGTAATACTGACGTGATTATCGGTGAACTGTATGTGAAATTAGTTAAAGTCATATGAAACGAGTCTCTTGTTTTTATGATGTTAAAGAAATTGTTGAACCTGCACGCATAAATTATATACCAAACTAAGTTCTCTATGCGCGTTTTGTCATTTATTACGAGACCAAAACGTATAAATGACAAACAAATATTTTATTCAGTAATTGTTGTTTGCAAACTTAAGCTAATAATTGATTTTCGGGTTTGTTACCAGATTTTATCGGATTGTTAACCGTGATAAATATTAAACACAGAATCAAGGAAAACGTGGAAACTAAATGAGTATATATATATTTTTTTA